GGCTATTTTTTTCTTTGTCGCAGTTTGGCCGGGGCCAGGTTTGAACCCACCACCCTTGGTATATGGGGTCAGCACCCTACCCATTGAGCTACAGGCACCACCAATGTCCCTAGGTTCTTGCTTTCATCTAATTTCTGGCCTCTGATCATACCTTATTTTCTTAATACCACATCGATTTGCTTGTATTTTATCTGTCATTGTTATTTTCAGAACAATTGTTCAGAGTATTGCTCTGGCATATTATAGGCAGTGTATGTTGTGTTCCTTTCATCCACAATTTTAAAGTATTTTGGGCTTCCATGAGCTCTTCTCTATTTTATTTTTATTTTTTGAGATAGAGTCTCAATCTGTTGTCCTCAGTAAAGCACCATGGCGTCATAGCTCCCAGCAATCTGAAACTCTTGGGCTCAAGTGATCTTCCTGCCTCAGCTTCCCAAGTACCTGGGACTACAGGTGCCTACTACAACACCCAGCTATTTTTTAGAGACAGGGCCTCACTCTTGCTCAGGCTGGTCTCAAACTCCTGAGCTCAAGCAATCCACCCGCCTAAGCCTCCCATAGTGCTCGGATTATAGGCATGAGCCACTGCGCCCGGCCTCATAAGCTTTTCTCATGTGAAGTAGAATCCTGTTCTTGGGTTATTGTTCATCACAGCAGTTGATATTTTTCCATCATTCATGGATGTGACATGGTATGGAAGATAATTAGATAAAATTTGTCACATGAGGTAACTTCTTAATGATGCATTTACAGTGTATTGAACTGTTGGCCAGCTGGCGTCGTCATCTAAGCAGATGCTATTTCTTGGCGAGTAGAAACTGGATGAAAATTGAGAAGTGCCGTGGGACTTCTGTTTATTCCTGGTATTCTCAGAAATGAAAATTTAAAGAAAAAGTGATCCATTAGATAGATTCTTCTAGGCTGGGCATTTGCAAACCTGTAACGGCCTGATTTTAAAATGCCTCTTGGGAATGGCCTCCTAGCTAGCTGTCTGTAACAGGGCCTTCCCTACCCAAACACTCTCTCTTCCTGCTGCACCCCCTCCTTTGCTGAAAACAGAGTTGGCTTCTGCCTGGACCTCCCCGTTCCTGCAAAACCTGTTTGTGTTACCCTAGTTTGAATCCTGCCTGTGGGTTACAGAGGAAGGGAAAAAGAAAGGGACAGTCCCACACTAGTCCCTGTCCGTGCTTGGCACACTAACATAACGCACGCCCACACGTCAGGAGCCTGGGCCTGCCTCTGAGATATGGGGGAGTTTTCAGACCCAGGCTTCCGCTCCAGAAAATCCCCATTATCACCAGAGCATGCCTTGATACAGGGCAAGGGCAAGTCTGGATTAGAGTGAGCGGGATCATAGAATCTTACTGCTACCCTTTTCCACTTGTGTGGCCGTGGGCAAGTCATCTCATTTTCTGTTTCCTCTTCTGGTGCATGGCGTCTGTACTTGCTGTCCTGTAAAGGTGTCGCATTGTGGTGAATAACAGATATGAAAGTGGGTAGCACCGTGACGTGGACTAGCTGAACAGTAGTAGGGAAATGCTCCTTTGGCCTCTCCAACAAGGTCTAAATTACTAAAAAGGAAGAAGATGTAGAGGAGAGCTTTTCGTCCTCCCTCACCTTTGCAAGCAGTAAAAATTTCAGAAAACCTAAATTACTTCAAAGATAGAGAAATGGGTAGGAGGAGAAACTGTGGATGGAGTTCCGTGCGCCGAGGATCTAGGAAAAGACAGAGACGTAAGTTGAAAGGAACAGATGGAGACAGTGGAGAGGAAAGTGTCAGGGCCAGCCCCAGCTTTCTTAGAGAGGTTTCCTGCTGAGAAGTGTGGGTTAGAACGAGCCCCAGTGGCCTCGTCTCCTTCCTCTACCACTCTCCCTCTTGGAACCTGCACTCTTCCCGGGGCCGCCCTGCCTTACCTTCCTAACTTGTAGACTGCCTGTTCTGTTTCTACAGGGACCTGCGTGCATTACTATGTTAGCAAGCTTTCTCTAAGAACATTTTGTTCTTTGCTGCATTTACGTGTGACACAGGGATCTATTCCAGTTACCGTTAGTAAGGCTGTGTCCATGTGCGTAATTTCACAGAATGAAATCATCATCCCAGAGGATCCCCTCACCTGAGTCCCGGGAGTCTGAGGAGCGACACGCCTAGGCACTGTTTGACTGCTCTTGCCCGTGGCAGCCTGGGAAGTCAGGCCTGGAAGGTTTTCCAAGGCAGAATTCCACAGCTTCTCACTCCCCATGGTGGATTTGGACTGGTGCTGATTAGGCTAATTTAGGGGAGCCCTGACCACTTCCTGTCCATTGCTGGTGTCTGTCAAGGGTCCTTAAGGGCAGGCAGGCTATGCCTCTTTTTAGAACCATCATGCTAAGTCTTTTTTTTTTTCGCAGTTTTTGGCCAGGGATGGGTTTGAACCTCCTACCTCCAGCATATGGGGCCAGCACCCTACTCCTTTGAGCCACAGGCACCGCCCCATGCTAGTTCTTTTAACCACTCGAATTCAGTCTCATAAAGAATTTTAGAGCTGAAGAGATCAAACACGCTAAGGCTTACATGTGGGAAGCTTCCCAAAAAACTTTGCTGGTGTGTAAAGTGTTTAAGATAAGATTCTTCAGTTGAAAATAAAGGGCAGGCTCGGCGCCTATGGCTCAAGTGGCTAAGGCACCAAGCCACATACACCTGATCTGGCGGGTTCAAATCCAGCCTGGGCCTACCAAACAACAATAATGGCT